ACAATTAGGTTAGAGAGCTCCCTTACCCAACCGAGCCCAAAAAACCCATAGCCAACCAAGCCGACTAATTTTTTCCGAACCGATGCCGTGTAGCTCTCCTTGAAATGTAGTAACGCGATGCTCCGTGCCATATCTTCAAAATTTTGATCTGCAGTTCAGTCTGAGTAGAGCTTTTGATCACAGTTTGTTACTTCTAGTGATTGACCAGTGGTGTGGCTGAACTATGAACACTCTTGCATACACTGAAACCCGCGAGGCAGAACAAACGTCAACTAAATCACCCGGAGATAATGTTGTATATCTTAATGACTCAAACGAAGCAATTATTCAGTTTCGCCCAAAAAAGTCTCACGAAGGCTGCTTTAAGCTTCATATAGAAGGATGCCTAATATATATCGGTTGATGATGTGGACGTAACTCGTCGAAACATGCTGGAGTGAACTTCAATGCTGGAGGAGACGAACGTCAGATACACGGTAGTCTCGCAACTGATTTACGTTTGGGATCCACTGCGATAGAATGAATCAAAAATTGTGTAAATCAATGTAAATATGATTCATAACTTCTTTAATAAGCAGCAAACTAACCCCGAAATATTCAGTATGCAGAATAATATCCGCAGTGCCTAAAAGAGAACTAAATACACAGCTCAGAGCGTACCTGAATGATCATAAGCAGAAGCCGCATACAAAATAAGCTCGCCTGCGTCGTAATGCTTCTTTTGTGGTGCATTACTTTGATAGCCTTTAACACAGTCACCTTTTTCATGACCATGTTTCACACCACCGAAAGAGCGAACTATCTTGAAGCACCACATCAGGTAATTAGCCAACTGATAAAAACAATGGGCTTACCATAGGGCTCACTTCCAGTGTTGTCAAATTACGACTGATTGCTCACATCAACGTAGAGCTGACGTCACCAATCAAAACACCACATCCAATTCAAAATTTAGTATATTATTTCACCCGGATCTTCCGCGAGTTGGGTAGAGCTGGAAAAATACTTGAAACGCGGTCAAAAGATCATCTTGTTAATCCGTTTCTGGGGTTCCGTCATGAAGAGACTGGACCTTACCGTGGTGTGACGGTTCGCGCACCTCAGCGATCCATTGAGCTATACTGGAGAGTGTCCCGCGACACTCACAGAGTCTCTCATACCAGGTTGGTCAATGGTTAGAGGTCTGACGAACACAGTCTCCTGGCCATCCAGGTTGGGGGTTGGAACATGTGGCGACTTGTTCCGTAGAAATGCTAATGCATTT